TGAAAAAGATTAAGTACTGAATACATGAGCTACTTGTTAACCCTTTCCAGTCGGGTCATGGGTGAAAGGCCATGTTATCTCGTTTGTCGACTCGCATTGAAAATTTTATTGAACTACTAATTCCTGAATTTATGTCAACAAGAGCAGTATCAAACTGTAGATTATAATTCAAATTTTAGTGTTATACCTTACTCAATTTCTTAATTTAAAAGTAAATATTAAAAAAAGCACAGTTAAATATCGATTTTTATGTTTCGCGTAGTATGTTGAATGCAGCACTGGTTCAGATTAGATGTTTGTGATATCAAAATACTAACTCTATAGTTTCGTACAAATTAGGAACTCAAATTACCAATACTGACAAACAAGAGTATCAAATAAGAGCCTCTTATCTTTTCAATTTGCTAAGATATTGTCATAAATCAAACGCCCACTTCTTTCCATTTTTGAAAATGCTCCCTTATATACACATAGTTCTATATATGACATGAATAACCAATCAGAAGCTCAGAATATCCCCTAGTGGCTTTCTCAGACATTTTAACGTCTTTGGATGCCATCTCTTTCTTTCGAACCACGATTTCGATGAAGTACGTTGAGTCTTTAGTCTGCTCAAAATTTCATATTTTGTTAGACTGAACTACAGCTTAGTGTTCTCTTATTATCACATGAGATGGCCCTAAAACAAAATTCTAAGGCCAGGCTTAAAAATAGTTGTTTGCTGTAATCTGTCTGACCATCTGAAATTGGGGCTCACAGAGAGATTTTTTTTTTGATATTATGACCTGGGAAACTTTTATTTTCACTAATCTCTGCCAATATATCGATCCATCTAACAAAATTTGCCAACTTCATAATTTTTTATTGCTGTATTATGGTTAGAATATATTTTTCTCGGACATTCATGTAGTCCACAAGATGTGGGAGGGCAACATCTGATTACCAATTGACAGTTCAATGGACATTTGACAATATGGCTTATATAGTCCCCAGGACCCTTCACACTAAATTAATAAATATATGACCTAGCAGAGGAGAATTTCCTATTGATGAGCATACATCAACAACATTGTGAACATAAGTCTGTTCGGTGTATCTTTCTCCAAAAAATGTTCTCATGGAATAAGGATTAGGATCAAAAACAAATTAATTCTGATTGGAAACTTATGCAAGTACTTGTAGATTTACTTGGCAATTGAGATGAAATGGAAGAACAAACCATAAAATTGTTGGGAACACTCAATTCAACTTCATCAATTAAGGTCGATATTGACCAGAAAGCGTGTGCTGCTAAAGAATATGAAATTTTTGTAATTCTCTTCTTAGAATAAATGTTGATAGTAATTGTATTCATGGCTTAACATGTTATGTTTTAGGTGATAATGGAACTAGTGGTATTTCCGAAGTCTTTTTTGCCAACCAATTTGAAAAAAAATTTACCTACCTACCTATCCACATTTTCAATCAGTTTAGTGTTACAGCAAACAAAAATATTTTTAAACCTGGCCTAATGCTAAGAAATCAAGCTTCAATACCCTTGGTGGGAAGAGCACAGAGAGCCCATTATATAGCTATGTGCTTAACATAAAGAAATGTAATGGTAATGTTTTGATTGCTTGAATATTTGGAATAATCAAACAACAGTAATAATCAGAAACCCTAACTTTGATCAGTTGATTATTTCCATGACATGAATCGCAATTTTCATTAAGAAGTTATTTTTTGGTTCTAATTGACGTAATCGATGACCATAGGTAATAGATTAATCAAGTTAATTGCCAATAAGATTTAATCTTTCCTGTTATCCTTTTCTTGTTTTTAGGAACATGGTTTTATTAGGGGCAGATATTGCCTTACTGATCTTTTGACATTATTTGAAGAGCTTAATGCTTATCTAGATGAGGGTAAAGATGTAGTTTTGCTACATCTGGAGTTTCAGAAAGCAATGACAATGTAATACATAGAAGACTTGTTAAAAACATTATCTCTATAGTGTGAGGAATAATATGGCTTATTGGATACAAAAATAGCTGGATGGAAGAAAGCAGAAGGTTGTTTGTTATAAACGAAGCTCATTCAAACTGTATTAATGTCAAAAGTGATACCTCAATGCTCTTAGGACATTTGCCTTTTTGACTTACATCAATGATACAGATGAAGGAATGTTCAATAAATTTATAATAGGATTCATATCATTTGGTAAGTGGCGGAAAAAAAAGGCAGACAACTTTTGAGTATGGTAAATGCAAGGTATTGCATGTGGATTATCATATCATAAATTATAAGTATAATTTTGATGTAAAAACCTTAACAGTGTTATGGAAGAAAAGGATTTTATTCTTGAGTACAGATATATTGGCTAAGTTAAGCCATAAATATATTGTTTTTTAATGTATATTTTCATTTATTGCTATATGATTTTTAACAAAAGTAGCAAAAATGTAAGTATTAAAACTTATTAGGTTAGGTAACAACTGAAATGGGGGAAAAATTATATAAATTTCTTGAGATAACTCTTCAACAACCACACACAAAATACGTGGTTTGACATTGCATGATGTAAGCTGATACTTTGTTTACCCTAAGCGCTATGCTGCCCTGCTGGGCAATATATTGGTTGTCTTGCTACTGAAGACAGTTCAAAGTATAGTAATAAAACAATCAACTAAAAACTGATGTGAAAAGGATAGAAAGCTGAGGTTGTAAGAATAAATAATTGTAATTGCCTGTTACAATATGCAGTCATTTTGCCAAAAGAAGAATAATTTTTGATTTTTTAATATTTTTTTAATTTTCATTTCTATATTCATGAAATTCACTACATTTTTAGGGTAGAGAAAATAAGAGCTAAATATGAGACAATTCTGGCTTATAAAAAGTTGTAACCAGAGAAATTGGCAGCCTCAAAATTCTGTTGCAAATTTTCCAAAACAGGAGCCAAATTAATTATTTAAATACCTTTCTAAAATTATACACAAACTTTTCTCTACATTAAAATGCTTTTATTGCAAGCTTTCTGTCCTCTTCCCAGAACCTTCATCAGGCAACTATGTTCTTGAGTTTTTAAATAAAAGTATTTTAACAGAGAAGAGACTGTGTATAATTCTACATATTAATTTACCTACATTAGGAGTCTTAAAAACAATTATTTTATTGCCTGTTGAACTACAGAATATGTAAGCAGATGAAATTAACTACCTCTGATATTACATGTACTGTAAACATACATCATGTTGTAACTATGATGAGAATGATATAGTAACATTCAAATTTAAGTGGCATCGAATTATAGCACAGAAAAAAATTGCCAAGTGCTAGATTTTTTTGCCAACAAAAGTATAAAATTACAGAAAGAAAAGACTAATAATTGCATGATTGAAGCAGTTCCAGTATTTCTTAGGATCAGAAATACTGCTATTAACTTCTTTTTTTGTTTATAAACAGAAGAGAACAGTTAAAATCTTGGACTTCTTGTAGCCTTCATCAAAAACCTTACCATCAGGATCCTTTAAAGACCTAATTCCAATTTTGACATTTTTTTACCGTTTACATACTTAAAAAAGTAATTGCTTTAACATTATTGATCAGCTGTTTCTCTTAGACCCATTTTGATTTCCAAATTTCTTTTTTTTTAATACAAATACCTATATTTTTGTAAATTTTTCAACCTATCTTATGATATTTACTTATCCTTGATTTTCTCCTTATTTGCTGGCTCATTACTTTTTGAGTGCATTAATCAACTGCATTCAATTAATCATTTATTCTCATATGAGACTTTGGTATTGGAATATTTGAAAACAGTAATAGTTGGAAACACTAATTTTGATCAGTTGATTATTTTCATGACAGTAATTTATTTATTTGTAATTTTGATTAATCAATGCTCCTAGGTAATAGATTGAGGTAATCACACAGCTCTAATACCAATAAGAATTGATCTTCCCTGCTATCCTTTTCTTGTTTTTAGGAACTTGCATATTTTGAATTTAAAATAATTTACTTTTAAACATTTCCTTCACATGTATCTGTCCTACCTCACATTTTAACTCCTTAGTCCAATTCACTAATAAATCTTGTCTCATAGCCTCAAAATTGGCAATCTGAAAGTTAGATAGATATGTAAAATAGTCAACATTGTACATTTTCTGTTTTGAACAATGTGTGTAGTTAGTCATTTTTAAGCTTCCTGTCAGAACTTAAACTTTATACAATCACTTGTTTAAAGCATGGCATGGTTTTTGTTTGAATAAGGATCTTAAAAACTCCCTGTTCCTTATTTAGTCTTAAAAGTATAGCTTATGTTTTAAATATTATAATTAAAATTTCATTTTGTAAGAAGTGTGATAAGTGCAATAATTTCCTAATAACTTTCACATGTGTATACCATGTAGATCTGGATTATTAATGGAATTTTCTAATCTATCAATAATCTATCTATTACATTCATCAATCAGTTATTTTTCCATGAGACTTGGATAGTTGGAATAGTTAAAAATATTAATAATTGGAAACACTAATTTGGATTAGTTGATTATTTTCACGAGTTTTGACAATAATCATTTAAGCTGAACAACTTTAATTCATTGAGAATAATGATACAGAAATCATAATGGCAATATTTCAATAGCTTGGATATTTGGAGTAATCAAAAACAGTAACAATCTAAAACACCAATTTCGATTAATTGATTATTTTTGTGACATTAATTGATTTAAGTGTAATTATGATAAATTGGTTATTTTAGATGACACTACTTAATGCTAATAGGTTGTCGATTATATTGATTAATCGAGTTAAGTGCCCAAGTCTAATACCATGTAGAACCAAAAGTGAAATTAAATATAATGTTAAGAGTGTAAAAAAAACTATTAATAGCATACATGAAATATCACTTTGATGATAGTGCTTGCTTATGTTTTGTTTGATTTTGTTTACTGTAATTTTTATGGTAATAGCTTGCATTAGAAAATATCACTAAAATGTAAATTTTTGTTCAGGAAAGAAAAGCAAAAGAATGACGTGCCACATGAAATACAAAATTGCAAAGAAGGTAAGTTTTTTATATATTTCTACAGGTTTGCATTTTAAAATTATATAGAAAGCTATTGGATAAACTATTTAGAAGACTTTGCTTTATTTTAAATTCCTATGATTCCTCAGTTTCTTTCACTTTCTTTGGAGAAAAATGTTTCTGCTTGTTTGTCCAAGCATGTTAACAACATCATAAGAGACATTTTCAGGCTTTTATTTCTTGTTTATTGTTTAAAAACAGATGAAAGATTGACAAGACTGAACTAAGATCTAGTTCTCCTTCATTTGAAGATGGAAGGGTGTGAGTTCTTGTTGAGTGATCAGTATTGGTCATTGAATGACCTTAGTAGACCTTAATTAAAACAAAATTGGAATGTTTGTTTTTCTCTATTGCAGTAGAAACTAGAGTAATTTTTATTTTAAATGTCTTTATTCATGTAAATGATTAACATCTATGTAAAAAAAATAAGGTTGGAGGATATTTTATTATTGTATACATTTATTTTCTCTTAAATAGCAGCTTCCTTATATTTTGTGTTCATGTTTTAACAAACTATATTTCATTGTCAGTGGTCAAATTACAAGTTTATATTAATAATTCAGTTCAAAATGTTGCACTTTTCAAGTGACAAAAGTATATGAATGTCGCAAGAAAATAAAATCTTGGTGAAAGTGGCATAATTTTACTATGTAAGTTCACGACACAAGCTACTTTCATCTGATAATTAAATCATTCTGCACTCTATGTGCACTTATGATTTCAAATCTTGTAAATATGTATATCACCACATAATATTTCATACAGATTATGATATTCGTTGAAATACTCTTATAACATTGGTTAAACAGTGTGTGTGTGTGTGTGTGTGTGTGTGTGTGTGTTTAGTTGTCTGAATGATCTAGGTGTATTTGCTATACATGACATGATTTCTGCTTACAACTTCACTCATTATTAAGTAGATGCTGTTGCTATAAGCAAAAATATACCAAAGTGTCAAGCACAGTGTTGTATAGTTTACAATTAAGAATGTATTGTAATGAGCATTTTGCACCTACATCAGAAGAAAATAATTTTTCCAGAAAAATGTTAACTTTCAGAGTTCGTAAGTTCTGTTAGTAGTAAACATCTTGGTAATGTAGTGCTGGGTTACTCCTTAATGCATTATATAAATAGTTTAATTTGTTAGACTTAAATTAGATACATCAAATTTTAAAACATTATCTACCTTTTGAATTTTTCATTCACTGTGCTCTAGCTATACATAACTGATTATCACATAAAGATTTAGAAATTTATGCAAATGAAAAGTTTTTTATTTTATTTTATAAGTTGACACATTTATTACTTTTTTTGGTAAATTTCAAAACATCTTATTTTTATGATTATTTTTCAGTGTAATGCAAAATAAGGTTGAAACCTCCTAATAATTTTACTTTTAATATTTTCACTTTATTATTATTTCTTTGATTTTGGGGTAGTAAATGTCTCAATCTCAGAAAGTCAAGGTGTATTATCATATGTCAAATGAAACAAATATAATATCCAAAAATAGCATAACTTATGATTTGATTGCTTCAGAGATTAGCTGAATCACATCTCTATTTTGAAAGACAGTAATGGTTTTACATACAAGACCTAAGAAAATATTTAAAATTGCAGCAATCAGTGTGCATGATAATGCTGTAATGAGTTTCATAATTTTATTCTTTTTTTTTAATAAATAGGTGAGACAACACCATCGAAAAGCAAGAAAAGAAGCAAAAAAAAACCCTCATAAGTGTCAGTACATTTAACTATATTATCAAGCATTGTGGATCTGTTAACATAACTTATGTAAATACTAAGGTTTGAACAAATTCTAAATAAATGCTAGTTTTTACATTATACAATAATTGTGATGATTTTTTTTTTCAGTTTTGACACTTAGCCCTTTTTTTAATATTTAAGCGTTTTTTTGCATTTACATAAGAAATGTATGAAGAAAAAATTTTTGTTTTCAAATAAAACCAAATTTGTAGTGTGTTTTAATTTGCATAAACAGCTAAGTAGCATAAGATGGTTAAAGTGCCTACAACTGTATTTCTACAATGTTCAATTGGATTTTTTCAGTTTACAGAACATAAGTACCATAAACTTTGTTGTAATAATGTATTTATCTTGTCAGAAATATAACCATGAAATTGTTATGAAATTCAACTGTGTTACACATGTTACATCAACATACTTAGTTTGCATCAAAGGTGTCATTTATAATCAGCATTATATAGGCCTGCAGAAATAGATACTGGTCTCTTTAGGTAATTTTTCTCATGATGGGAATGTTTGAGAAACCATGTGACAATTGCTGTGTGACCACATCAGCTCACAACTCTTACAATAGCCGAGCACTGACAGTACTGTACTGAAATGAGTGGATTAGAATTGGTAGAAAATTCTCTCCATACAGCTGGAGTTTTGCATGCAACAGAATATCAGTCTTTGTAACCCAAATATCATACAGTCCATCTTGAAACATGTTCACAAAGATAAAATTCTACTTGTTTTAAGTTGGTAAACACCCTAAGTAAGGAAACAAAGGTAATTTTCAGACAGCTGTGGAAAGTCTAAAGCTGCATCATAAGCTCTATCTTTTTTACACAGTGAACTTTTGCAAGTTTGTCCTTGTAACTCCACAATGTTCTGCAGTTTGTTGTAAAGTTTCAATGGATAAAGCATGCTTCTTGCTATAGTAGAATCATCATCTTTGCTTTATACAAGATTAAGATCATAGCAATTGGAAATGGCATTAACAATATCACACAAGTGTTATGATATAAAAGACTGTTTGGTTTAGATATTATTGATTAATTTATTTTCGTAAGTGAATATTTTATTATTGTTTAGTTTTTGTTATAATAAGAGTTAAAAGCATACAATTGTAGAAATTTTGTTAATAATTCATTGATGTTGAGAATATCGAACATCACGTGCAATATATTGACATCAAGAATATAGAAGGCAGACAGATGATTGAGTGATAAAGATATAACTAGCATGAAATGAGCAGGAACAGCAGACAGATAATAGCAAAATAGACTAAAGTTGGCTTGAAGTTAACTACCGTAGAAGTGGTAGGCCTAATGATTGACATAGGCCTAACATTTAATATGGTGGAGTAAAACTAACAGTGGAAAAGGAGATAAGAATAATAATTTTATTCCATCAAAGCGTGGTTCTAAAGTAATTGAATCAGCTTGAGTGTACTTTGACAAAAGGAACAGAGGATCTTCAGAAGAAAGAAGACCAAATGATTACAGTAACTCATGCCACAATTGTAAGTGAATATTTGTGCAACAGAAATAGAGAAGATAGTTCGGCTTGTCAACTGAAATTCTAAAGTAATTGAATAAGCCTAAGTGGATATTTGACAAGAAAGAGAGAACTTCATATATAGTGTTTATAATATGCCTATAATCTCTATAGTGTGAAGACTTTGTTGTACATACGTTAACTTGTTCTGAATATATATATTATTTTCAAAACAAGTGAACTGCGTGCTGTTTATTTATTGTTGAATTTATTGCTAACAAGTCACAGACACCTTCTGTAGAAGAATCCTAAGCATAACAACAACATGGTATATATTTATACTATTAAAAAATATAACTAAAGCCTTTTATTTTGACAACTGGTGAAGATCAGATTTTTCAATTCTAACAATAAGAAAATAATTTCTTGCATAGTGATGACCATATCTGGTAACTCCCATTGACTGCCTCGACAACCCTGCACACTTGGATAATCAATCTCGATTGGTTGAATTCTTCAGTTGTATGTTGCTTGCATCCTAGAGGAAGAAGGGTGGATGACATTTGTGTTTTAAGTCCAAGAGAATACATAAACTCAAGTTTTTCTAAAACAGTGGTCTACAACAGCAACATCATGTAGCTACATGCAACTTCAGACGTCTTCAACATTCTTTTCAAATATATAATGAATTACTATAGTATCATGATTTCTCCCATCAAATTTTTTTATTAAGTCTGTTTAATATGTTCCACCTTATCTTATGGTTATGCTGATTTGTGTATTGGCCACTTCAAATATTAGCAATATAAGTAAAATGTTTTATAAATGTTACTGGACTAAAAATAATCTCGACACATTATTTAATAAAGTGATATTTGGGATCCAAAATGTTGAGTGCTCTCTATATGCAAAGTTATTTTTCAATATATATCATGCCACTATGATGGCAAACAACAAATTTGAAGGTGTTTGTTGCTTAAGTCTGCAATGATGCTGAAAAATACTTTTAAAATGAAAGATGCCCTAAATATTATGAAAATGAACAACAAAATTACTTTAAAGTTACAAATACCATATTAAATCATAAGATTAATCAAAATTTACTTGAAGATGTTATTTTAAAAATAAATATACAGATAATTACTTAATTTTACCTTGAGGTACTTTACCATGTTATACTCCTTGGTCTTTTTTTTTTTGCATGAAGGTAACCATTTAAGCCTTAGATGAATCTTGTGCAGTCTGAATAGTGTGACTTAGTTATTCTTACTTTAATATATTCTAATAGCAAAACTGTTTAGTTTTTAATTTAAAGACTTTCATCATGTTTTTTTTTATGAATAACTGTACTATATATCTAAATAAGTAAATCATTTTTCAGGTTTACATAGTTAGACTAACTATTACTTTAAATGTGTAATTGTTTTTTTTTTGTTGTCCACTTTTTGCCTTGTAATGATGAAAGTCTTCCGGATATATCCGGAAATCCAGATATTTCTAAAAAATCCTGAAAACCTCCGGTTTTCTTCCTGAGAAACACATTTTTTAAAATTATTTATCGGATTTTGGTGTTCCGTGCCATAGATAAGCGTTTATGCAATCGCGTGGTTTGTTTACATTCGGCGACAGGGCACCGCCATTTTGTAGTCTCGCAATGCTTGCTGGCGTGTACGATACCTTGTATGCTTATAATGCAAACTTCATGTCTTGTGAACGAGATTTTATCTCGAAAACGTGCTTTAGAAAACGCGGTCATTCTTTTGTGTACCTTTCTATTGAGCGCTACAATTGAAGAGCCTTATCTATTCAAAGGTGTTTACCGAAGCGATAATAGATCAAATGAAATGTACAAACAAGTAGATAGGTTGGCAGATATCAGTAGCATAGAAGGAAAGGTAAAGAACAAGTTCAAATGGTCGTGGCTGGAGGAAAAGGATGTAAATGGTGACTTTTTATCAGACTTTGTGAGGAAAGTGGACGGGCCAGGATATGCACTATGCACGTGGTTAGAAAATTTTACTTTATAGATCTATTAAAGTTTATAATCATTTCTTGTACTGGAGTTTTAGAAAATCGTTAATAATTTCTTAATTATCACTCAATGACGTGACTGATCAAGACGGCAAATCAAAGGATCAC